ATGGCTGAAATGGCATATAGAATGCAACATGGACTTATACTAACATGAGAGAGCCTCAGCCACACTCACATAAGAAGCCGATGGATGAAAATGAAGTGCCTCGAAATGCGTGCATATGGGCACGCAAATCGAGGCAATGGCATATGCAATGCAATGGCATGGAAAATGATATGCAAACATGCTAATGGGATTTCAGCACTGAAATGTGGGAGAAAACAGCCCCGAAATGAGGCGAAAGTACACCCGATGCATGGAATAGTCCCGAAACATGAATTTTGGCACCCGAAATGGCCTATAGCTATACGAAACATGCACAATATGGACACGTAATGAATAGACAGTAGCAAGGCAGCCCCAAAATAAGCACTTTTACAGTTCAAAGCATGGCCAAACAGCAAACAGAAATAGGGCAAAACCAGCATGCAAAAATGGCCCTAAACATGAGATTAAGAAGCAACTCACAGCTTCTGTCCTCAAACAGATTAGGGCCCTTCAACAAAGTTGAAGAGGGGCTGAAAACATGATCTTTTACAGTTTATGGAAAACCACAAAAACCAGCACAAATATGGCTAAACTCTCATGCAAGAAATGAGCCAAAAGATGGACAAAGGACCAAGTGGTAGATGCAAAGCCCAAACAGAAAAATACTCTTCTACAATACTGATGAGGGACCAAAAATAAGGAATTTTACAGTTGATGGCCGGACCCGAAACAGCATGCAAATATGTCAAAAATGCTATGCAAAATGAGGTCCAAAAGAGAGATATAACATGAAGTGTATAAAACATGCCTCAAACCATGAAAGGCCCTTAATGAAACACGAATAATGGGCCAAAATAAGACTGTTTTCAGTTCTGTAAAATGACCAAAAACAGAAGCACAAGGGGCTGCCAAGTCATGCAAAAATGGGGACCAAAAGAGAGATATAACATGAAGTGGCACATGGAGGTCCCAAACAGTGATGAGACCTTCTTCAATGTTGAAGAGGGGCTGAAAATAATCCTATTTACAGTTTATAACATGCTCCAAAACAGATCACATATAGGCTAAAAATATCATGCAAGAAAATGGCATTCAAGAAGGATATTGAAGCAAGTGCAAGATGGAGGGCTCAAACAGGGTTGAGCCCTTAATGAGATAAGAAAATGAGCTCAAAAAAATGACCTTTTCAGTTTTGGTCGGAGCTCAAAACAGCAAGCATGTATGGCTTACAAATGATACAAGAAATGGACCAAAAAAAGGAAAATGTAACTCACCCTTGAAGACAAGTCTTTAGCAACTCTTGGCTTGAGTTTGTAGCACCCTTAGGCCTTAAAGAACACCTTCAAACTTCTGGAATGGAGGATGGAAGGGTGGGGGTGTAGAAGAAATGGTGGTAGAAGACTTGGAGGTTTTTGCTTGAAAGAGAGTGATAGGGGGGGATTTGTGTATCAAGGCTTGAAGACCAATTTTTCTAACCCCTAAAACCAGTGCTGCCTGCTGGTTATATGGACCAAAGAGGGAGAGACAAGGAGAGGAAAAGGTGGGGGAGAAAAGACCAAGTTCTCCCCCAACAGTTGTCCCCCGGATTGAGATATTTTCTGGGGGAAACAGCTATACAGCTGTAAAGTGAATTTTGTGAGGATCATGGTCGGCTCCTTTTCAAAGCTGCAGGTGGCCGGCCGGCCAAGGGTCAAAAGGGTCAACTAGAATTTCTGGCCGGCCACCACAAATTGTTGTCCTCCCATGTGTCCTCAACACAACCCTATGGTTCAAAATTAGCAACTGTAAAACAGGAGGGACAACAAGCCATTTTTAGAGGGGGGTCAAAAGGGTCAGATGGAATTAATGGCCGACCACAAACTTTTAGGGTCCTCCCATGTGTGTACAACACAGATGTGTAGTTAAAAGTTCAAGAAAGTGGCCCAAAGGTGTTCAACATTGGCTCGGAAATGAGAAAAACGGGCGTTGGAGGGCGCCGGAGGAATGAAAACTGGTTGTTGAAACAATTACTGGCCTCCCACCCTTCTACGGCCTTCCCGGTGATAAAACAGAGGTACCTGCCAAAAATGAACGAAAACCGATGCAAAACGAATGTTCGGGGGCCAAAACGCGCAGTTTGAGGTCCCGAAAATTGCCTGTTAAACACCGAAAGTGGCATTCGGCCATGAAGTGGGTCTCTCAGACCTCAGTGTCCCTCAAAAGGGAGTAAATAAGAAGTATGCCAAAAACCGGGGCAAACGGAGATGGTTAGGCGGTCCCGAACCGAGGCACATGACCAACGGTCCCGAAAAACCGGAAACCGGGCTCCGAAATGGGCAAAATGGCCTACGGCCACAAAATGTAGCCCACATCCATTGAGAGATGGTCTATGGGACCTCTCCCTCCCCTCAGGAAAAGAAACAGAGAAAATCGAGTCTGGTTCGCAAACCGAGGCACGGCACAAAAGAAGGTTCGGAAGTCCGGAGGCAGGGCTCGCGGCCGTGACTCTGAAACTTCTGAGTGAGCACGATATGCAACATCACCAAGCGCTCAATCGGTGACGTCTGAGTCTTAAGGTCGGTCAAAAATGGGGTGTCTACAGAGCGACTCCGTATTCATTGGTTTATGGGATGGAGGTCGTTCTACCTATCGAAATTGAGGTTTCGTCATTGGAAGTATTGGCTGAGTGTCAAATAGCCGAAGCAGATTAGCAGCAGAGCAGGTTTGAGGAACTCATGCTTTTTGATGAGAGGAGACTGAAAGCACTGTACCATGTTCAAGGTTATCAGCGCAGAATTGCCCGGGCTTTCAACAAGAAAGTTAAGTCCAGGAATCTAAAGGAAGGAGATTTGGTGCTCAAGGACAACCGAGCTCCCATCCACGACCCAAGGGGCAAGTTCAGACCTAATTGGACTGGTCCCTATATCATCAAAGCTATCTGGTCAGGTGGAGCTGTGGTTCTGATGGACCTAGATGGCCTGGAATTTTCCTAACCGATCAACATGGACAAGTTGAAGAAATATTACCCCTGAGAGGCTCGCTAGGCCGAAAACCCGAAAGGGCGACCTAGGCAAAAGTTAGAGCACAAAAAAATTGGAAAATATAAAAACTGAGCTCGCAAGGTTGAAAACCCGCAAAGGGTGACTTTGGCAAAAGTTAGGGCGTAAAAGGAGAGCAAACATACTCGAGTGAACCTAAGCCTGAACTACGTAAGGCTTGATTCCCATCTTTGGGATACGTAGGCAACTTCATCTTGAAGTTCAGCCATAAACTTTTCCCCGATCAACTTTGTCCATTTTGACCATCTCAGTCATCTTTATCCATCAGCATTTATCGCAATCTCCGGTGCAGTGCTATTCAGACTAGGGGCAACTTTCCGTTGCCACACGGTGTCGCGGTACTATTCAGACTAGGGGCAACTTTCCAGTTACTAGGATCCGGGGTTGTGCATCTCAGTGACAGATCTTAGGCGTGTCCAGTTCTGATCCATATCGAAAATGGTTTTGAAACGTTTTAATAAAAGTTGACTTTGTTCAAATTAATCTCTTTACAACTAAGACCATTTTTGGACCAAAGTGAAAAATTTTCAATACCACAACCTTCAATTTCATTGATTTCAAAACAGAGTTCTCCTACTCTTGCATACAATCGAAGTTGCTTTTTATTACATTCATAAAGAAAACTTGAAAGTACTAATAAAGCAATAAATCCGGGGCATAGTCAAGTCAAGTATCCTTGCGCCCCCTCCCAGAGCTGGTCGAAGCCTCTGATGCCAAGCTGGGCCCGACCTATGCCTCCTCATTAAGCCAGTCCCAACACTCGTCAGACAAAGTGCAACTGAAAGTGGGAGCAGGGGCCAGGAGCTCTCTAGTCCTCCATGCTGTGGCATATCAGGCAAGCTGTGCACCTCGGACCGGGAAAGCAGCCGGGTACTCAATCCCCTCTGGCGGGCAAATCTGATCATGACCAAACTAGCGCAGGAACCGGAACGGAAAGTAAGAAACACACAGTGGGTCAGACCAATCAACATGATCCAGATCAGCCGGGACATGCTATAGCTCATTTGCGGGAGATTTGAGCCATAGGAAAACACGCCAAGCAATGGACCTGCAGACGCAAATTGCACATCCAGTCATAAACACCACTTTCATCAGGGGCAATCGGACTAGGCGCTGTCGAAAGAAATAGCCTCGAGCTGAAGTAGGCTGGGTCAAGAGTCCACACCTGCATTTGTACATCACCATGACCTGGGAGGGAATGAAAAATGGAGAAATAAAGAATAGAGAGATGTACGGTGAGAGGAAAAGTGAGAAAAGGTTTTTGTGAGAAAATGCGAGCCTGAGGGGCGCGTGATATGAGCAAATACAATATGTAAGCATTGGGTGGTAACATTACCTGCAGCAGCAGTGGACCTGCCCAGCAAATCTAGGTCTCCGACGGCAATAGATAGATCCAAGCCCATCAGGCGTCTCGGCCAAGGTCATGGGCGATGCAGCTCTTTCCTTCTTTCAAGCTGAGAAACTTCAACAGACGAATGCTATATCCGCCAAAGCCGGGAAAGAGCCAGAAAAGTGAGAGCGCAGGCACAAGCAAAAGGCGTGTTGCGAGAAACTTGCATAATAAGGTTGCTGCGGTCACCAGCGTCAGATAAAAGCGATGAATTCAAACGAGGATATCCAGTTACCCATTACAAGACCGAGACCGATGGCGTCATGCGCGTGAGTCCACTACATGTGCCCTAAAGCTTGGGCGCGGCAAAAGCGGAATGGGGCAAGAATCTCTTTCATGACGTCAGATATCCTTCAAACTTAAACTTCGAAAGTTTGGACTACCTCTTTCCACAAAGCTAAAGACAGTCGCGTCATCGGGGTTTCAAAACCTTGCCGCTGGCAATGGAGAAAGGAAGGTGCAGCGGAGTGCGATCAGCGCGAAGTGCATTCAGCGAAACCACAGAGTTATACTTTCCGAACCATCTAGAGAAGCGATCCAAGCTGTGAGATTTTCAACGAGAAATGCCTCCATATTTTTGTGCAAAACTAAGATGAATTGAATGAACCACGGAGCTAAGTCTTTTAAAGAGGAAAAGACACTATTCGGGGGACAAGTGTCAAAAATTTGACGGTTGCTGGACTAAGTGGCCGGTCGGCCACCTTTTCTGGCAGGCCGGCCATTTCTTTTTTTAAAAACCTGGCTGGTGGCCTCCCCTTTGCAATAAATCTGGCCGGCCGGCTCCCAAAAGTAGCCGGCCATGCTCCAATGTGTGTCTTTGGCCCTGTTTTACCCTCCAAGAGAAAGTTTCAAGCATTTTCATGCAACAAGTGTGTCGAAGGCCTTTATTTCCCTCTGTTTCGGATGCGTTCCGTTGCCTAGATCGTCCGAAGTACACTTTGTTTTGTTAGGTTTTGTTTATCGAGTTGTTGTTTTGTTTATTGAGTTGTCGTTTTGCTTATCGAGTTGTTTATCGAGCTGTCGTGTTTCGTGTTTTTGAGTTGTTACTCTTTGTTTAAGCAATTTTTGTTTGAGTCTTGTTTATTGAGTTGTCAACACTATTGTATTTTGCTTATCGAGTTGTAAACTTGCTAAGGTTTTGTTATATCTTAGAAAGTTAAGTTGTTGCATCGGTTCACTACCTGACTGGCAAAATGCACAATGCACATTTTCATTCAATCTCATTATGGTGCAAAATGATGCGATATGATGCTAAGAGTCTAAAATACAACACTTTTTTCAAAAGCTGTTTCATTCCATCATGCCTCGCTTGTTACAACATTTTACAGACTAAGGCACAAGTTTTACAAAGAATAAAACTGCCCAATAATGTACAATGTGCTACAACTACTAGCAAAAAGATGAATAAAACAGGAAACAGCCGCATCTGTGCTCTCAAGAGCAGGAATAAGAGGCCTTCTTCACCCTCTTCTGCGAAATAGACTCTCCGCCACCATCGCCGTCATCATCATCTGAATCGGGGTCGTCATCCTCGGGATCCCCCTCAGCCTCGCCTCCACTCCTAGAACCAAGGCCGGAGCCGTCCTCTCTGTCAGCAAATGTCTCCGACTGACGATCTGCAGCCTCCTCCTCCTCATCCTCACTGGGCTCCTCCTCTACAATGTGTGCTCTGCGTCTACGAGATGACCCCCCCTCCAGCTCCTCGAAAAGGCCTGGATGGCCTAGCTCCTCGAAAAGGCCTGGATGGCCTAGCTCTTCGAAAAGGCCCAGATGGCCCAGCTCCTCGAAAAGGCCCGGATGGTCCACCTCCCCAAGAAGGCCCAGGTGGCCCGGCCTGCGGCTGAGCATATTCCGGGGGCATCTGAGAATAAAGAGTTCAATTAAAATACATCAGTCCAAATGTGTACATCAGATGCAGATACAAGAAAACTACATGAAGTGGGTACATGTAAACACAGTGCATAAGTGAGGTGTGTGTCAGATGTGCTCTACACAAGTAGCCTATCAATGCAGTAGAAATCAGCATATCATCAGAAGTATGATAAATGCCAGAAAACTAAAGGGTACCTGGAAGCCCATGATGGACAACTGCGCCTCCCTCCGCAGGACCATCCCCTCAAGTGAGGCTACCATCTCGAGCACCTGATCCATGTACTCAACAGGGGGCTGCAGATGCAAAGGCAAGGGTATCAGTAAAGGAATGAACGTCCAAGTATTTGAGTAATGAATCAAAGCCGTAAAACATACCGGTGGTGAGTCGGGGTCTCTGACATATCGATGGCCGAGCATCGGAGGCTCTATCGGGATCGGAATCGGAGAGGTAGTCCCATATTGCCACCCCATCAACTCGGTCGGCATGTCCGGCCATCCGGGATGAGGATAAGTCGGAGGAATCGGGGGAACCAATCCACCCCCACCTCTAGATATACCAGCCCTGCTGGTGGAAGGGGCGTCTATAGCCCGAGCCCGGGCCTGGCTCGAAGATGGCATGCCAGCAGGCCTCATCGTCGGAGTACGAACTCTCGTCAATGGAGGCATCAGGTATATGTGACGGTAAGTAGCGTAATCCCCCTCCTCAAGATATAGCAAAGCATCAGTACCCAGCATAGCACTAACAACATCCCGGGAAGAGAGCCTATCAGCAATCCGCATATCGACTGGGGGTGCTGAGGGAGGGTCCTGAGAAGTGTACCCCCAGACCTGACGCAAGAAGCGGTCCCCCAAAAACCAGGCCCTACCAACTGGCCCTTCGAACAAGATCCTATACCGGGAGACACCCCACCCTCCGGCAAACTGGAATCGGAGACCTTTACCTAAAGGCGCCCAGGGCTGCCACGTAATCTACGGATAACAGACGCATAAACCAAGCAGAAATTGAAAATGTACAGGACAAAATCAAAGATGAAAACAGAAAGAACTGAGAGTTCTGAAATACCTCCGTCGACCGCACTGTGTCGAAGTACTGCCGCAGATAAAGGAGAGACTCCCGAGGTCTTGGCCGGTGCTGGCCTTCAAATACAAGTGAGTACGGGGTCACGAGAGGTCCCTCTACCACCAACTCCGGGGCCAATGTCGGGAAATACACATAGACCCACAACTGTGGAAAACAAAGCAGAATACGAAGTGCTGAGGGCAAAGCGCACGATACAAAGTATAAAGTGCGCCGTGTGTGCAATGTGCAAGCAATGAGGAGCAGAAATGTAAATCAAGAGGGCAGAAAGTACCTCCCAGGCTCTCCAATAGTCGCTAAGTAAGTCCCCCCGTCCGCGGGAGGTCGCGCTCATGTAGCAATAAAGGGTAGCCAAGCCGGCGCCACCCCAGTCATACCGTCTGACCTGTGATAGGTCCACCAAAGCACTCAACAGATAAAGCACAACAGTGTTCCCCCTGTCGGCAAACAAAGTGGTCCCGAAGAGGAACATCAGAAAGTCGCGGGCATACTGTGCTGCCTCCTCAGGAGTCCCGGGCTCCATCTCCACCCGCCAGAAATGGGAAGAGAACCAGGTGTATCGGACTCTCCCCGAAGGTCTATCAACAGGCGGGCGAACCCCCAGCAAATATATCCAAGCGGCCTCCAACCGGCCCATTTCCTCGTCGTAAGGGATGTGCCAACCTCCCACGTCAAGGCCAGTCAGTACGGCAAAGTCAAACAGGGTCATAGTCAAGTCCCCCGTGGCAGAAAAATGAAAGGAGTTAGTGGTGTCCCACCATCTCTCCACCAAGGCGGCCATCAACGTCCTCCTGGCAGGACAACGAGATAGCCCAGTACAGAAGGGCCCAAACCCCGCCAAGTCAACCAAATCCCGAACAGCGTCCAGGAGCTCGGCGTACCAATCTCTCGCCGCGGTAGAGCCATATCCCCGCACAGTGCGAGAAGTCACCTGCATTCAGAATCAATACATGTTTCAGCATAAAATGAATAAGCTGCGTGCAAATAAAATGAATAGGCTGCGTGCAAAGTAATGTAAGTGAGCCGCGTGTTCAGAATCAGTGTGTGCTGCGTGTTCACCTTCAATTTGGGTTGTGTGTTCAGAAAATCAGTGTTTGGGCTGCGTGTTCAACTCTCAATCAGTGTGTGCTGCGTGTTCACCTTCAATTTGGGCTGTGTGTTCAGAAAATCAGTGTTTCGACCACGTGTTCAACTCTCAATCAGTGTGTGCTGCGTGTTCACCTTCAATTTGAGCTGTGTGTTCAAAAAATCAGTGTTTGGGCTACGTGTTCAACCCTCAATCAGTGTGTACTGCGTGTTCACCTTCAATTTGGGCTGTGTGTTCAAAAAATCAGTGTTTGGGCTGCGTGTTCAACTCTCAATCAGTGTGTGCTGCGTGTTCACCTTCAATTTGGGCTGTGTGTTTAGAAAATCAGTGTTTTGGGCTGCGTGTTCAACTCTCAATCAGTGTGTGCTGCGTGTTCACCTTCAATTCGAACTAAGTGTTCAGAAAATCAGTGTGCGGGCTGCGTGTTCAACCCTCAACCGGTGTGTGCCGTGTGTTCACAATCAATTTATGGGCTGAGTGTTCATGAATTCAAGTGATTCAACCATGTGTTCAGAATGCAAACAGAATGCATGAAAAATTCATAATGTGTTACAGAAAAGGTAAGAACGAAGTAAATACCTCTCGTGCCTCATGGGAGAGGTGATACTTTGGCTCCCGCAGAAGGAGATCCCCGGGTGCTCGCTCGTCGAAATCGGTGAAGTGATAGAAAATAGCCCGCGGGAGGATATGAGCCTGAGGGGCGTACCTCTTGGGGATAAAGGGGCGAACCCTCGGATGCAAAGACATGATGTCGGGCTCGCCTCCGGCGCCTGGAGAACCTCCGTCGTGGGGAAAGTGACCCGCCATTTCAAGAAATCTGCAAAAAGGAGCAAAAATGAGCAAAATGAGCCAAAATTGGAAAAAGTCAACAAAAGTCAACTCTCGGAAAATAAAAAGTCAACAAAAGTCAACTCCCGAGAAAATATTCCAAATATTGAGACAAACTCACCTCAAGCGGCGAAAATGAGAAAAGAAG